ACCACTCTGGATGTTCCCGACTACCTGAAAAGACTCTGTAATGTCCAAAAAGTCGCAATAGCGGCTAGTCAAGAATATCAAAAGACTATTGTCGAAAAGAGGCTGAAATTAGCTGCGGATCCTATTTCCTTTACCGTAGGCAACTACGTTCTGGTAAGCTACCCCGAAAGGCCACCTTCAAAGCTGACGCCTAAATGGAAAGGCCCTATGTTGGTGGTGTCCCGGAATGGAAACATTTACACATGCCAAGATCTCACGTCTCTGCGAACTAATGATCTGCACGTGTCTCGTCTAAAGCCGTACGACATGACGTCGACCGAAGACGCACTCCAGATTGCTTCTGTAGATTCGGATGAGTATGTTGTGGAAAGCATTGTCGAACATCGAGGACAGTCGAAACGCGATTTTGAGTTTCGGGTTCGCTGGAGTGGGTACAACGCGGACGACGACAGCTGGCTTCCCTATAGTGAGGTCAGAGTGTGGCGACACTAGCCTAAAAGAGATAACAACAAAGGTTAGTCAGCAAAACAAAGAACAATCCGACACTCTCAGTAAGGGAACCGAACTTCCTACCAGAGGGGATGAGACAGAGGTACAAGGGATGAAAGCCTACTAGTGCTTTATAAACCAAAACAAGTACAAATAAAAGAAAAGGAAAAGGGAAAGAAAGAAAGAAAGAGAAAAGGAGAAACGCCCAGGCACGCGCCTTAAATACTTCGCAGGGCTTCCAGCCCGTGGCTCCGTACACATTTCCAGTACAACTTGAATATGAATTCGGGGGTTGAACCATCGGTTGATCTTCGACCGGAGCAGGAGGCGGCTCGGGGAATTCACTCGCCTTCGATCGGAGAAGGAGGCGGCTCGGAGGAATCGCTCGACGTCCATCGGAGCAGAATATGCCCGAAGACTTCCCGCGCTCCCCGCGCAGTGCATACTGGCGGGATAACACAGCCCCCTAGAGACGAAGCTCAGGGTGTGCGGCAAGATACACATCCAGCGCTTCCAAGTCTCGACACTCGGAGTAGGGAAGCCAGGTGTCGTCCGTGGGTTCGAAGCCTTCCCAGCGCACACGGAACCTGACGGCCTTCTTGGTCAACCCCTTGTGATCCACGATCTGCTCCACCTTCCATTCATCATTGTCAACCTGGGCTACCTCGACCGGGTTGGGAGTCATGTCCATGTTGTATTTCTTGAGACGACTGACGTGGAAGTCGGTGAACCGATGAGTGACCAGGTCCTGACACTGGTACATGTCGGAACCAACACGATCGGCGATGATGAGTGGTCCGCGCCAGCGCGGCGCCAGCTTGCTAGGCGGCCGATCGGGGTACGACACAACGACATAGTCGCCAGCAGCATACTCGGTGGGATTCTCGGCAGATTGGGAAAGACGCTCCTCGATCACCTTGTCCTGATGATCTTGGCTTGCTGCGATCAGAGACTCCTGGGCTTGGATGAGCTCCTGCACGTAATCCTCTACTGTGACTGACCGCCTCTCGGAGGAGATGGGCTTCAACAGTTGGCGGTCCGTGTCAACCGCCGAACCGAAGAGAAGCCGAGAGGGAGCAACCATTGTCGCTGCATGCGGAGTGGCGTTGATGATTCGCTGGACCAAAGGCAGGTAGCGGGACCACGTCTTGAGCGAGCGCAATTCCATGACGATCGCGCGTAAGTGGCGTCCCACCTCCCCCATTCGCGCGCTCCACCAGCCCATTGGACTCTGAGCGGTACGCAATGGTGAAGTTCCTCGACGAACCAACCATCCGCAGAAACTCCTCGATCAGCTCGGCAGCATACTGCGGACCCTGATCAGACCGGAGGAAGGAGGGTGCTCCGTAGCGAGCAAACACCTCGAGCAAGATCCCTGCGGCATCCTTCGCAGCAAGCGTCCGCACCGGACGGATCTCAACATATCGGGTGAAGCAGTCGATTGCCACCACCATGTACTTGAACCCGTCATCGTCGACAGGCAGCGGACCGATGGTGTCCACCGCAATAGTGTGGAATGGCTCCGAGACCATGGTGGTCCGCAGACTTGCGGCAAGGCTGCCTTGACCCAGACGAACCTTCTGGCACACCGGGC